TTTAATAAATGTTGACAATATGCCAACTACTACAAGGGGGCTTCAAAAAGTTGGTGAAAAGCTCCCATTATTTTTCAATTCCATATTTCCACAGATTTTTTTAACCCCCTCCTATCTTAAGTGCTCAGCTGCTAACCAAAAGGCTATGAGTTAGAATTGACTAGATAGCAAAGGGCTTGAGAGTCACTTTTTTTTTCCAATGCATACTGCTTTAAAAAAATTTTTGCTATCATAATTCATACTAATAAGAACTGTAGCAGCAGTGATCTTGGAAACTACTTTTTTTCTTTCCTATGTTGCAAACCATAGAAAGAATAATAGCTTCTAGAATTGGTGACAGATCAAAGGCAAGATGGTTTGGGAGAAGGAATATGATGAGATGGAAAGAATATAAGGAATCCAAGAACCAGCTATTGGAATCTACTTCAGCCTCTTCGCTAGCTAGAGTTGTGATCTGTGGCAAATTGCACACCTCTCCGAGGCGTGGGTTGTCTCATCTTGCTCCCAAGCAATAAAGTAAGACTGATGAAACTTACTCTTGAGGGTTTTTTTGGATCAAATAAGGTTTGGTTTGTAAAAGCTTTTTGAAGACTCAGAGGCCTCTGTCTCTATGTTATTAAGTGTCAACAAGTCGGTTCAGACACAGCAACCCAGCATAGGGGTTCCTAGAAATAGCTGGTGAATTTGAGCTACTGACCTTGTGGCTCAAACTGACCTTGAGGTCTAGTGCTTACCCTATGGTGCCACACCTATAGTAGTAGTACTAATAACAATAAACATTTATTGAGCGCTTTCTGTATATGTGCCAGTTATTGTACTAAGCACTTTAAATGCATTGCCTTATCTTATCTTTATTCAACCCTATGTGGATAATGATTATTAGTGAGGAATTGGAGACGCTGAGCGACTTCGGAAGCAGCTCAGAGCCCAGCTATTAAGAGGCAATGATTTAGAAGCTGATACTTGGGAAGGAAAACAGCAAGAGCTCTCTAAGAATTATTCGTATCTACCCAGTCTGCACTAAGGAGCTCTTGTAGCACAGTGGTTATGAATCGGGCCACGAACCACTAGGTCAGCAGTTCAAAACTACCATCTTTCTCATCAGGAGAAAGATGAGGCTTTCTGCTCCTATAAAGATTTACAGCCTCGGAAACCCTGTACAGGGTCGCTATGAGTCAGAACCAACTCCGCGGCACATAA